TCTTTCCCATTGGAGACTGGTGTGGGCAGATGATGGGAAGGAAACAGTTGAAGCTGAATCCTAGTTATTTCTGTAAATACGAATATTTTAATGTGTAATCTTCATGTGGTATTTATCATTAAAAGTTTATTTTTCTCAGCAGAAAAATACATCCAAGCTGGGTGAAAAGAGGTTTTGATCTTGGATGCATCTGATTTTTTTTTTTTTTTTTTGGTAATGAAGCTTTTAATAGAAACCTTGTGAGCTTTGAGGTAAGTAATCTTTCGGCTCCTTGGGTTTTCAAATTGTGTTGGTACATCTGGAGGAGATTGCAGTCTGCTAGGCATTGCAGTTAGAATAACCAGACCTCTCAGGACCAGGTACAGTGCTTTTAGCAGCCACTGCTTTTTTACCATCCTTCATTCTGACTCGAGACAAGCGAGGAAGCAGCCAGAATGATATGCCTTCGTGTTCATATAGGACGTAAAAGGTGGGATGTTGAAGGTCTAAACTTCCACAGACTTCGATTGGCAGTCTGAGATGCATGATTATCCAGATAGTGATCCCAGCATTGCCAGGACTGGGGCAGGCTTCTCCCCCAATTGTCTTAGATGTGTGCCCAGGAGAGCAATCAAACCCTGACCCCTCTACAGTGGCTTCTGAATTCCTGCCAGTGACAGCGGGGGTTTTATGGTTGAGGACCACTGCCCCCTTAGAAGCTGGAGTGAGACTGCTAACCCATGTGAAGCAGACCTGCAAAAAGCCACAAAATGATTTCTGGTCACTCCAGACCGGGGCTGGATTCAAACCTGTGCTTTAAAACTAAGAAGCTCTATATCCCATTACCAGTCCCGTGGCCTGTCAGGTTTTTCTGAACGGTAAAAGTTCAATGTTATGGATTTATCAGTGCTGAAACCCCATGGAGAAACAGCATTGTTTAAGAATTTGAGCTGAGTTTATTCTTGAAGAACTGAGGTAAGGTTGGGTTTCATTGAGTACTTGTTTGAGCTCTGACCCTTACTGTGAAGGCAACGGGAGAAAGAGGGCTTTGTCCCAAGACTGCTGTCACCTAACGTCTCTGTGCTTTGGGGCAGATAGAGGCACTGATATTTTGCATTCAGGTCTGTTCTTGGAAAACTCAACAGCATGTCTGTCTCAGGAAATCTCAGGGCTCTGGGTTTTTACTACATTTTTGGATATAGTAATTCTTCAGCCTGAAGTTTCTGAACCTGAGGGAAAACAGCTAGAGCTTAGGCAGTTTAGAAGTAATAAAAAAGAAGATCTTGTGAAAATCTCAAAGTAGACCTTGGGGAAAGGGCTTTAGAGACTAGCTTGGGCTTTGCAGGGAGGAGTTGGGGAGATGTTAGCAGAGCTGTCCTTGGAAGACTGTTATTAATGACAGTGGTGTATGCACATGTAACACATGCTTTCACTCTCTTACACACACAGAGGTTTTAGCGCAACAGCCAATATTTACAAGGCCACAACTCTGTCCACCCCCTAGCCCTCCTCCCTCGGTTTCCTGTTCTGTTTCTAACTCTTTACCTTAACCTTTGTGTTGAATAATTCCCTGAATTATAACTCCCCGAATCATTTAGGAACATTATTGTCTCTGGTTTAGAGAACTATATTTTCCCCTGAAAAGTGCAGTAAGTAAATAGCCATGAAATGATTTAAGAAGGATTGTTGTATTTGCTTTGGTGGGAACCAGGTTCCTTTGGGGGTTTCCGGTGCCATTGGATAGACCTTCCCTCCCACTCAGGAACTACCAGGGTTGTTTTAATGTCGACATGGGTAATAGTCTGAATGGAGATGTTCCTCCTGCAGGGATGTGAATTCTGGATGTGAATGTTTCTTTACTCTAATCATATTTAAGCAACAGTGTAATTTAAGCAATGTGTCTCCTTGCTGAGAGTCCCAAAAATGCAGCCTTCGCAGTCAAATGTATCCCATGACAGAATAACTTTATCCCCCAGCAATTTCTGGAATGGCCTTGTATTGGGAGCCCAGAAACTGAAAAATACTTTCTCACGGCATATTTATTTAAGAGTTTCCAGCTGTCCCGAGTGTGAGCGCCAGCTTCAGTCCCTGGAGTGTCACTAGGAGAATGCTGTTATGGCAACTGCTTTTCATCAGTTTTGAGGCTCTTTGCAGCTGGATGGACCCACACGACTAGACCGTGTTCAAATAGTTAAACAGTATCTGTTAAAAAACAAACAGCCCAAGAGTCTGGTTTAAATAGCATAGTGGTTTTAGGAGCTGGTGGGAGTGCCCAGCTGGCCTCGGATTGCAGTCTGCAGTTTGTGAAGGCAAGATGTTGCAGCTCGAGCGCTGGGCGTTTTACCTCTGTAGGTTTTGACAGATGAACATTTCTTTTTCATCTTCCTGTTCATTCATGAAGTTATCAGAAAGCCACTTGTGCACAATTTGAAATCATCTGGCTGCCTTATGAGCAGGGATCCTGGTTTTCTGTGATTTTTTTTTTTAAAAAGTCCCCAATTTTTGGATTAAAAAAAGTAACCCCAAATCCACATTTTTCCGTGATTAAAATGAAATGCCACTAATATATGTATAGTGGCGTTTCATTTTGATCACGGAAAAATGTTGATGTGAGGTTACTTTTTCTAATCCAAAAATTGGGTTTTTTTGTTTTTTTTTAAGTCGGAGAAAACCAGGACCCCTGCTTATGAGAAGGCTGGTGCTGTGGCCTAGGCTCTGGGCTGGATTTCAGGAGAACTTGGTACAGATCCTGCTCTCTTACGGTCTTCCATGACTCTGCCTCCATTGCCCATGTAAAATCTTTTTCTCCTACTTCCGATGTCTTGTCTCTTTAGATTGTGACCTCTTCAGAACAGGGACCCTGTTGCTCTGGGTTTAGAGAGTATGCACCCCAGTTCCCTTCTCATCTCTGTTGAGTTTTCTGGGCACGTACTGTTTATACTTTTGTATAAAAATGAATTCTTACCAAATGACTGGTGTGAAAAGTTAACCCACTAAGGCTTGCTGGCTGGGTCCTTTGATCTATCCAAGGCATCTGGAGTAGGAGACACTGCGGTATCGGCCTGTGGAATTGAGATACACGATGGCTTACGTCCCATTTTGATCGTTTCCAAACGTTATTGCCAGCTCCTGCTGGGTGTAGGTATGCACTGGGGCACAGCTGTACTCTTCCTTCTCTGAGGGGCTCTTTCACTGTCTGTCCCGCATTCATACAGTGGGGCCCTGCAGCAGTTTCTCTTTATCTTTTCAGCATCAGGTTATGCATCTGTCTCATTTTTTTTTCTCCCCTTCAGCTCTGCAGTCTCCTGCTGCCACTGTGATAATTCATGCCTCATTTTTTCCCGGCTGGTCTGGTGACTTTGGCCTCTGAATCCAAACATGCAACAATCCTTCTATCATCCCTCATCTCACCAGTCCTGACATGAGGTTTGCTCATTAATCCATTCATTAATACTTTTACCTTGGGCTACAGCTCTTGCTTCTCAGGCTTCTTGGATCCTTGTCTGTCCCTATGCCACCTCCCAGACCATTCTTCATGGGCTTAAGCAGCCTAACCTCCCCGGCTTCAGCTCTCCAGCCCTTTCGTGAGACAGCTTCTCCATCTGCATTTACCTAGCACTCGACCTAGAGAGCCCTGCTCTAAATCCTGGTGCCTCATCCATCTCGCTAGTCTAAGAACATGGTTTTATGGTCCCGCACCCTGTCGCACAACTGAGACATTACATCCCACAAGACCTTAAGGCAACATCTCTCAGAATGCCTTAGTTTGGGGCTATACCTGATGGGCCAGGACATGCTCAGTTGTGGTCCCCACTGATTAGAATTGCAATGAGAAAGGAACGGGGCTAGTTGATATTTAGACACGAAAAACTACTTGGCCCATGCTGAAGTGGCTTCAAGTGTAGGCTTCTAACCAAAGCAGTGCAAGTATGTCTTCCCCATAGCATTTGAAATTCATGATGCTTTAAACCAAAAAGTTTCCAAGAGCTGACAAAAAGGGTTCAGATTTTCAAGCTTTTCTCTTTAGCCCCAGGGCTAGAAACTTTTTAAATGAAAGCTGAGACTCTTGCATAATTTTAGGACTCTGGGAGCTCCAATGTGCCCATTCGTGTGACAAAACATTGCAGCAGATTTCACGTTTTCATGCTTTGGAAATGTTGAGTCAGTTGAGAAAACGAATCGACACACAGTGGTGGCTTTGTTACCTCATCTTCCTGTCCTGAAGTAGCATCTCTGGAATAATTCTTTCTGTTCAGAGAGCTTTGCCTAATAGGAGTCAAGCTTGTCTGTATATTATTCCTCATGGACTTAATAATGTACAGTCATTGAATAACTGTGCTCCCTGTTATTGCAGGAGATGAAGTTAGAACGATCATATTCAGGGACTTTTGAGGCCAGGAGGCAACAAAGATTCAGTTTCACTGAGTAACGTACTCACAACGGTGTGCATAAATTGCATCCAAAAATGCCATCCTTGGGTGGCTCATCAAAGGCTTGCAGTTTTTACCTTTGCAGAGGTATTGCTGGTGATATCAGTGACAATGGGGATGACTTGGGATTTGCAGTTGCTCTTTATTGAAGGTATTTATGCCCTTGTTACCATAGTATCTAAGGGCCTCCCCATCTTTAAATTAGTCTCATAGCAGCCTTTAGGTGGGTAGCAGAGATGAGGTCCCCTCCATGACGTAGTAGCCATTGAGGCACAGAGAGTAGTCCTCTTTCACCTCTAGGATGACCAAGTGGCACTTGTGGGTTTTAGGTCCTGTGCCACCTTCCATAGTAGCCATAAAATTACTAAAACGTTGAGATTATTTTTTGCGAGTCTTTTCACCTGGGAAGATCCCCAAGCAACTAGACTTGATACTGCACATGTTCAGAAACTGTTCAGAATGGCCACTTCCCTAAACACCAGTACAGTCTCGCTCCATCTAGAAGGTGCATAAACCCTGTGTTTCCGGTGCCTAGACTAACCTGTACTGACAGTTCTTGCGGGTAGACAAACGTATATGTCGAGCACTTCAAAAGGGGAAGGGGAGTCTGTTGTTTGGGAGTGCACAGCCCCAGTTTTGCTGTCACTGTTCTGTGTGCATGAGTCTTTGACCTGGGAGGGGAAGAGGGGATTGGATCAAGTGGAAGTGATTTTGCTCTGTGTGTATTACTGCAGACTTGGAATGAATGTCCAGTTGCATCCTCCCAGCTTGTATTTGTATTCTGTGGTAGCAATGCTATTGTTACGTCCGTCTGCCCCCCTTGTTGCATGAAGGGCTTGTATTAGTATATTGGTAAGCCATGCCAAAATGGAAGTTTTGAAGGAAAAATGTTGACACGAACTTATTTATGTACAGGCTTGTCCAGAGGGCCTGGCCAAAATAGGAGACAGGGCTGCTATTGTGGTGGGTGCTGTACAGACACAAAGGCAGGCCCAGTCTCTGCCATAAAGAACTTGGTTTTAGATTTCAGGCAGCTCAATTTTAATGTCGTTGAAGATCTAGTTAGATCTTAACTGCCAGACCAACACTGTAGTGGTAAGACACAGCGCTGTATTTGGGCTATTGTATGAAAAGAAAAAGTGAGAGAGACCCTCCTTAAAAAAAACTGCTGGAAAGGGGAGGTGTAGCCGATGGCATTTAGGCTTCCCTTACCCTGAGGAGAAACTGCTCTTAAGCAAGAATCCCTTATTGAGCCCTTTACCGATGGCTGAATCCCCAGCTAGTTTTCTTACTGTTCTATTTGAAGGCAAATTATTACAATTACAGTTAGGATTTTTAGATTTGAGTCTCTGTCTTCCTGCCTGTACCTTGGATGACACCTGCCAGAAGTTCGATGGTATTACCAGAAACCTGTCGGCTATAGCAAGACAGTCCTTTGAGGTCTTCCTTTTGAGTGCGTGAAAGTACAGTCGCTCAAATCTTCCCATAGTTATGCTAGTGCAGGGCTGCTATGTGGAGTGTTACAGTATATGCTGTCCGTAGTTTCTTCTGCACTGTGCCTGGGCTGTTTCAGACCCAGGGAGCTTGCATGCTACAGTAAAAGTGGCCGCCAAACGTGGTGTCACTGGGAAGTAGCACACAGCAGTATATGGACATTACAGACCGATTGGTTCGTAGAGCACTTAGGATTTAGGATTCGGTAGTGAAAGGTAGGAGACTTGGTACATGTTGACTAATGTGTATTGATTTGTAATGCTTATGGGGTGGCTGGAAAAATACTTGAAGCCAGGAGTGGGTGAAGGAGGCAGCAGAAACCTCAGCAGAGTTCATAGGGTGCGTGAGAGTGGCAACAGAATCACAAGTCACAGTGATTATTTATTCCCATTTGTATGTAGCCTCCAGGGTGCTTCCGAGTATGGTCCCTTCCCCATCCCCTGATCTGGACTTGCTGGCCATGATAAGACCATTTGTTTTGCCCAGTGCAGCAACACCTGCGGGTAGTGAATGTGGCAGGGCTTTCTAGGAATCCCTCTTTCTTTTCCTTTCCATATGGGCAGCTGCTACCTGCCAGTAGTAACACCCTCCTTTATTGGCTCCCAAGGCTGGTTAATGGAATATATGATTTCATTCTTGTTTCAGCAGATGTCTGCAGAGGAGGTGCTCATATTAATTGGATTTATACACGTGGCTGCAAGGCCTGGGCCCAGCTTGGAGGTTCTTGCAGCTGTGGTAGTGACTGGGTTATGGATCAGCAGCTCTTGGCATGTGTGCCAGAGGTAGCACCCGAGGCTATTTTCCTTGGCACGACACAGCCGGCCCAGGCTCTGGGCAGCTGCTGTGGGCCATGGATCCTGGGCTGTGACCGGGAGGCTGCAAGCAGTCTGGACTCTGTGGCAGGCAGCAGCTGCCCAGTGCCTGGGCTGGTTGCAAACAGCTGCACCGGACTCTGCAGCCCTGGCACTGGCTCCATGGTGGCAGCAGCTGCATGCATGCTTTGTGGTGCCTGGCAGGGGAGGGGTTGGGGTTGCCCTGACTTCTCCCCTGCCGTTTGCCTGGAGGAGCATGTGCAGCTGCTGCCAGCAATGAGGATCGGGCCCCAAGTGCATCCCCCACCTCTGGCATGCCAAGTTGAGGCGTGGGTGGAGACTGGAGGGTTTTTGGCTCTCTGGCCAAAAACGTTGCCGACACCTGGTTTAGGTGGTGGAAAAAACAAATGCTGGTATTTTGTATTGGATATTTAGCAATGTCAGTAGCCAGTAAGCAAGACAGTATAGAAAGGGAACAGATACTGTAGGCGGACAACCCTGAAATGTGGCCAGAAGCTCTCTCTGTAAGGTGCTGGGCAGAAAATAGTTGGCAGAAGCAAAAACCAGGAGGTAAGCAGCAAGGGCATTTTTTTCAAGGGACAGTGCGTTGGACTCCACGAGAGTTAACATGAGCATAAAAGGGAAGTCTCCACTGAGCTGGCACTCGGCCTAGCTCCTCTGACTCTGGCAGGCGGCGGCAGCAGCAGCAGCAGCCTTCTTGGGCTCCTAATCAGTCTTGCCAACAGTCATCTGTGAAAAGGAAAGTTTAGCAGAAGTGAACCCTGTCTGCTGGGAACTAGCTAGTACCCTTGGACCCTGTCACAGACCCATTGATTTATTTTATTCTACAGATTAAAATGAAATATTTTTGCCATCATGTCCTAGATAGTGAGGAATTACATTTAAGGAAACAGTCGGAGAGAGCCCATGGACATTCTTGGGACAGGTCAGGACAGATAACAGGCAAAAGACCAGGCAGAGCCTGATATTTTTTCCTTCATGGGTGCTCAGCATTTCCAAGGTGCCTCAAACACAGGTCCCTTTTTGGCAATCGTGGCCCCAGTCTGGATGTAACTAGACCAACCCAACATCCTGGTACAGCTGAGCATTGTTCGCAATGGACCCTCTGCCCACATCTAAAACAGCCATGGCAACATTTCATTTTGAAAATGCTTTAATAAGGAAGTGTTGACAACACCATTTTGCAAAATGTAGAGGTAACTATACAAATTCTTAATACAAAAAGAATAAATTAAAAGCAGATCTTTTTTTAATTCTGCAACTTTTTCTACAACATACATATTTTTTTTCCTTGATTACAGTTGAACAGAATCCAGTAAAATCATTTTACATGCTCTAAAGTTGGTTTTAGGAGAGACCTAATTTTTTCTTTTTTTCTTTTTTTTTTAAACTAGAGAGTCCATTTTACACAACTTGTAATAAAACTATTGACATTAATATATATGTAAAACTTTACATCTAGTTAACTAAGCAGTAACTGGTCATCTGATAGCACCTGAATGGGGTTTGCTATGTCCAGAACTAAAACTAATACAGAGTGAAAACAGATTTGAACTTTTCAACATTTTTAACACTCGACTGCATATAATATCATTTAAAAATAAACCCTGCCTCACAACATAGGGTGGTGTCTGAGAAAACACCACACTTCTGGCTAAACAGAGGGAGCTTCATACATGTAGACTAAGAATGCAATAGTGGCTTTATTTCAGAATGGGGAGGGCTTCCTTTAAAAAAAAGGTAATGAGGGGCCAATAAATTGGTAGTCAAGTGCTTGTATACAATAACTGTTTTCCCCCTCTATGTTATACTTAAACATGTTAATCGCACCTGATTAACATCGTATGTACATTTTGTGTATAACTGAATTGAGCTAAACAGTAAAACCTGTTTTACTTAATCTGTCTTTACTACCAGACTGGCTCACGTGTGCCTTGATTTGCAAAAACAGAAAAGCAGAACACAAAGCAAAACCCAGTCCGTTTATTTGCCTCTCCTTGGGCCTGTTTGCATTGCAGGCAAACCACATACATTTTTTTTTGCAGTTTCAATCCCAACATAATGAACTTGAGGGCTGCCACCCTATTTGTTTCCCTGCTACACAACTGCGGGCCTGTTCTGATTCTGGAGCAATTAATTTTTATTAGAGTAGTGCCCGAGGTCCCATTGTACTGCTGTTCTTGACTCCTTTTAATGAAATAGTCTATAGAGGGGGAAAAAAAAATTACTTAGAGAAAGGCTCTGAGCACATTTTTATTTCTATCTCAAATTTGTGGGCTAAATGCATTGTTGGTGATTAATTTGGGCCTTTTTAATCTTTGGAAAGATTAGTTACCAGCAAATGGCACTACCATTACCATTACTAATTGGTGCTATCCCCTCTCAAAAGTAACTGGGGGGAGGAGGCAATAATTCCCTCATTAGCAATCCAAATTTACAGAGAGGGAAAGACAAAACCATATGGTGCAATGCCCTTTCAGAGAATGGGGACTAGCTTGCGCTGTCAGTTCTGTCTAGCACTTGGTTAGCAATACGCATGATTATTTTCAAACATGGTTTTATTTCCAAGTGTAATGAATTCTAGCTTTCTACAGACTTTGGGTTTGGAAAGATTAATGCATGCTTCAGGGGTGTTTTTTTTTTTTTTTTAAATTTGCAGTGTTAAAATGTCAGTTTATGGAGAAGTAATTTTCATGGTTAGAGCGTGGAAATTAGATCTGTGGCTTGTTCCTGGCCCCACCATTGAATGCCTATGAGATACGGAGCCAAGTCACTTAACCTCTTAGTGCCTGTTTCCCCTCATCTTCAAATCCCACTGCCCACTCCAAACCCTACAGAGACTCGCTGGTGTGGATTCACTCTAAGTATTCAAATAAACATGATTAACTTTGCAGGGAAAAGCATTGATGATAATGGCGAGTGTTCATAAAAGCCCATTATGGTTCCAGGTCTGCTTATGCAGCAGTCCAGTCATTTCATCGTTTCATACAGCACAATTTTCTGGCACTACTGTTGCAAAAAGGTGTGGCAGCTCCAAGTTGGGGTGTCTCAATTTCTTGCCCTCCTTGTCTGGTAGACTCTATTGTTATTCTTAAAACACATGCACACATACACTCGTACACACTCACACTGTGTTTTTATCTTTTTAAAACTAAAGCTACCTTCAGTCTCTGCTTTTCACACCGTAACCCCCTCCAGCCGTTTTTTGTTAATGCCTTTCCCATAGGAAATCATCGTCATCTGCACTCACGAGTTGAGAGACGGGGTCAGGAGCCCCACTCCCATCTAGTGGCAATAAAAACAGCATAGCACCGTAGTGAAGACTAGATGTGCCAGCTTCAACACCCACCTAGATTGTGCACGTGTTCATTACAAAAGTGTCTTTGAGGCCTTTGTAGTTCAATGGCTTGACCTGTATAAAGCATTGCTCAAAAGTCTGTGTAAACTTGCAGCTCCTTCCGTCGCTCATTCTCATGCATTTTTCCTTTTGGTATCGGTAAACGGCTCTATTTTGCGTGGAACGTGGAAGAGTTAGTAATGTATAAGCTTGGATTTCTTATGGTCCCTTCTTGTAATTGGAAAATGTTGCCTAGTCTGCTTGTTGCTACACACTAGTACTGGGGCCCTCCCGTAATGGTGGACTGGCTCCTCTCGGACAGTGATATGTTGGTGACGAGCCCTTTGCTACACTGGCGTTAGCGAATGAAACCAGCTGAACAGTTTTGTGACTGCAGCTGTATGTCAAAGCAGGCTGTGCTTCCTTTTGATTTCATGTTAACCACTTTGTGCATAAATCTGCTATAATTGATTGGTTGGTTCTAGTCCAGTAATGGCTTTTGGCAATTTGTCACCTTCCTTATCAAATTATTAACCAAAAAAAAAAAAAAAATAGCTGTGTCTGTGGTAGTCTGTGCCAGCTAAGAGCCAGCAGTACTTGCCTCTGCTTTAGTTCATAGCCTGGTCAACCTTCTTGTCTGTCCTGTTTTAATAGTAGCTTCTCAAGATTGCATTATCAATCCCAGCCCACCCTCCAGTGTGTCTTCATCACGTTGGGGTATGCCAAGTTTTTGGCAGGGCTTGAAGGAAGATTAAAACCGTTTCCAAATAGCAAACTGCTGTGTCTGGAAATAGGCTTAAATGAGAGAGATTTTTGTGGCAAGAAACTGCTAAGCATGCTTGACTAGATGCCTTTTTGAGGGGGATCTTTGGCAGCACAGAACTGGATGTGATATTCTGACATGTCTGTGAAGGGACAAGCTTTTCTTTACAGTTCTTCAGAGAAGAAATACTTCAGGAGTAAGAGATTGACTTGGCAAATGTTGTCTCCCCAACCTTTCTACTGATGCTGTGTTGGCATCAGCTCATGGGTTGGAGAAATCCTACTCTTTATACCTGCCACAGAACACTAGGCTGGTGCCTAGACTTTGAAAGGTTTTCATGATTTGTTTAAATTAATCACTACCTGGCTGACTAGTGTAGTTATTCATGTGTCACCTATGCCCTTTGGGGCTGCAGGAGGCATCTACTAGTCCGTGGCAATCTGGTTGGAAATACTGAGATCTGTTGCTAGTTGTGGGGTCGGTGGTTGGTAGTGTTATCCTTGATCATGTTTTCGAGAAAAGTGCTTAGAGTTGAAGCTGGTGCCGGGTGACAGTGCATCTGGGTAAGGCAAATGAAGAGGCAGTGAGGTGATCTCAAAATGGCATTGATGTGATCAGATTGAGGTCAGGGGTTCACACTAGAGTCCCAGGCTTGGCTTTTTCCTGTCCATACCACTGGACATCAGCTAATTCTGGATAGAGGGGAGCATCCAGGAAGCAGCTATCATTGTAGCTCCTACAGGAGAAAAGGAGATTTTGCATTAGAACGAGCGTGGCAGCAGGCGTTCTTAGATTGAGCTGCAGACACAAAACACCAGGCAATAGGGATGGGTAGGAGATGAGGTGTTGTATGTTGAGTGGCACCATGGGGGCCTGCAGGTACTCCCAGAGTAGTCCCCACGTCCAGGACCCAAGCAGCTAGGCCCTTCCAGAAGACCTTGCTTTTACTTAAGTAATAGTAGCTGAACAGAAATCTTTCTCTGTTAGTCTAGTTTAGGCTCATTTCTCAAGAGGAAACTGAACTCCAATGACAGTTTTAGACCCCTTCTTGGAAGGGGGTATGTGCATGGTATCAATACTGATGACATTCAACAAAAGCCCATGATCAGTAATGCACTCACTCACAGGTGCTTCTGGCACAGCCAGGGAATGAAGGACATGGGCTTTATCCAGTGCATGTAGCTTACTGCTTTATGCGACGATGAATGGGACAGCTACAGCAAGAAGCCCTTTTCCTCCACTTTAAATGCATCCAACCTCCTGTGTTTATGCAGGTGGATAGGATATGCACACATGAACACACACCTCCTCTTATTCTGTGCCCTGGTCCTGACACCATCCCAGCAGCAATGTTGTGGAGGTTTCTCACCGGTGATTCCCCTCCCCACCTCCAAGCCAGAGGGGCTGGCTGTTGACTTGAGGGAAAATAAATGCTGCTGATTCCATGTCCGACTTGACAAGGAGCAAGAAACTTTTTGTTGGGATACTTTCTAGACAAGGAAGTCATGGTAATGAGTTGACAAGGATGTACCAGGAACAGATGTCAGGACTGCCTGCTGGCTTGCTTTCTCATATCAGTGACCTTATAAAAAGGAGGCCTACACTAGCGAGTAGGATCAGGACACTTGCACCCTGCGAGGATTCTACCATCCCCAGCATGTCACAGCAGCCCGTTCCATCAGAACATCCTTCCGTTGCCAAAACGGCAAAGGACTTTCTAGGACATACAGGGGTTGCCCTTTTGGAAAGACATCACGGCGTGTTTCTGCTTAGCTAAAGAACGCCATGTGTGGGGTACACCTACCGGGTGCGAGGAAATGCTGCTTGAGGCACCGATGGCTCTAAATCGCCTGGTATGACACATGCCCGGGTTCCAGTGTGTGACTGGCTGTACAGGGAAGCACCTATCCCATAGTGTCCAACACTTTTGCTGGGTACAGGGACTTTTGAGCAGCTTCCAGCTCTCAGATCCTGCATTGCCGTTGCCTCTAAGCTCATCCCTGAGAACTCGGTGGCTGTGATGCTTGTGGCTGTGTCCTCTGTGCTAGGGAGGCTCAGATTCAAGGGCCAGGAAGCCCCAGGACTGAAGCAGCTTAGCATTTCTGGTCTTCTCTCTCCAGTTCCCTTGCTGCTTTGGTTAACGCCCAAGGCAGCAGCCATCTGTCTAAGGTAAAACCAAGCAGCTCAGCTGCATTTTAAGAGCCTCCTGGTTCCAAACCCCTTACTAGAAAGCACAAGTTTACGGGTTAATTATATATTTTTGGGCTCGAAACAAGCAGCATATTCCATTTTGTCAAACTGTAGAGTAAGAGACTGGAGTTTCACAGCTACTGCAAGTTTTTCTGGGCCAATTTCCATTCCCCATGAGCCAGGGCAGGACTGTTCCTATCCATCTGTGTACTTGGCCCTATTACTGTAGTGGTCAGAATGCCTCTCCACTCACAGTTTTATCTTCCCGGCCCCACTGTGAGGTCAGAAAATATCATCCCCATGGTACAGATGGGGAGGGGGAGCACAAGGGATTTTCCCAGGGTCCTGCAAGAAGCATGCAGCTGCACCTAGAAATGTATCCAGGCCTTCTGCAGTCTACTCCCAAAAGTATGAGGAACTGCTCTTGCTCCCCATTTTGGTTCAGCACTTTGCTTAGACTGCTTTGAAACTGTCTGGCAATGAGGCATCTCTTGCTCCCTTTAGTGCTCTGTGCTTACTTGAGCCCAGCCTGGCTACTTGCATTGCAAAGCAAGTGGGCGTGAGGCCTTTAACCAAGAGGAACTGCAAATGTGCTGAATGGGTGAGACAGAGCTGCAGCATGAAGCTCACAGATAAATGCTTTCAGCTGGCTCTTGCAGGAGCTGAACAAAACCTCGCTCTCAGACAAAGGCCCACGCAGCTCAAGCGGTTGCTCCGTACAGACAGGAGGGCGTCAAAATTATTTGCACTGTATTTGCAGAATGCAAGCAACAGGGCAGAAGGATGAAAGAACAAAACATTCCCTTACTATACCTCTATTCATCAGTACTTTGGTGAGTTGGAGACTGAGACTCATCCATAGTGGGTGAGTTGTCTGTTGCTTCTCTGAACAAAGGAGAGCAAAAAAAGAGGAGGAAAGAGCAGAGAGGAAATGTTAAGGAGAAGAAGTGAAACAAGCATTGTTAAGAGCTTATTAATACAGTGGGAAAACAAATTGGTGAATCATTTTGAGACAAAAGAGTTAGTGACAAGGAAACATGTCAGGCAGAATTTGAAATCTTGGATTCATGCCAGAAAGTAACAAAACGGCAAAGTTTTCATTAGGCACCCAATAATAAACCGGACCTGCTTCTTGGAAACTTAAATTTTTTCCAAGCGTGAAACCAGTCACAAATTTATCTCCCATTACTTTTTTTTGTACAGTCTCTTTAAATGATAACAATTAAAGTCGTTCTGTTTCCACTAGCTGTGGATTTCTGATATCCTTCTGATGTGAAAGCCAGGGAGCAGTTCTGTTGAGTGGCAGATGCTGAGTCCTCAGGTTGTTGGCTGCCTTCAAAACAGAAAACTTCTCAACTGGTTTCAGATCAGCCTTACTAGTAGAGAGGGATAAGGCCAGATGGTGATAGAGGTTGAGGCAGAATCAAAACTAAGACCTCAAATGATGGAAATCTCAGCTGTCTGGCAAACTGGCAGAAGTTTCAGGTATTACAATGTTTTGTGTACCTCTAAATTATAGACTGATTTCTAGTTTTGGACTGGGACCTCAAAATACAACTGGTGAGTTTGGATCCCAGGAATTCATATTTGAGCATTTAGAAGTGCAAAGGGATTTATTTCAGGAGCTGAGGTCCTGTTCTTTCTCCCCCTTGTTCCCATCTGTTTCAAGGTCTAGTCTTAGCGTAGATGCTCCAGTGGAGACCAAGTGTAGTGACCAACTTTTCCTTACTCTTTTAAAACCAAACAGCAGTCTAATCTATATAGGAGGAGGGAAGGACTATGAGGCCCACCAATGTCTGTCTCCTATAGTGACTGCTGGATTAGCTCCCTGGTTTGTAGTGGACTGCTAGAGCAGTGGTTCCCAACCTTTTTTTACCGTGGGACAGGGCGCGCAAAGCTGGCCTCCCTCCCGGCATTCTCCCACCACTCGGCTTTAACCCTGGAAGCTCAGCTGTAACTCCAGAAGCCGCTAGCCTGGGCGGACAGATGGGGGTCCGAGCGGGGGGGGCTTGTGCCATGACCCGGCAGCCAACCTGCCGCGGCTGGGTACCAGGCTGTGGCCCGGTGTTTGGGAACCTATGTGCTGGAGGACAATTAACCTTCCCTAGGGTAGTGCTTCTAAAGTGGGGGGCCAGGAAGTCTCTTCTTGTAATTTCACAGAATCATGTACTGGCAGCATACAGGGAAACGGGAGGCTGGGTGGATCTAGGAAAGGATCTTTGCTTCACACCATCAGACGAATGAACAGAATGAAGATCCTGCAGGACCTGTGCCCTGGGGAAGCTTTCTTCCTCATCCCCAGGTACTGGAGTTACTATAGTTAAGCTTCCAGCTGTACCTGTACCATGTCTGAGTAGTTGTCCCAGTGGCTTGGGTGACCAGGGGGATGTTTATAAAGACAATTCGGCTGTGTAAGGTGATGGGGACCATCTGTCTCCCACCATTCACCTGGTACCAGAGAGAGCAAAGCAGGTGACGTGAAGATGCACCTGCCAGCACTAGATAAAAGGAGTGCTCTCTACACTGCTAGATTTGGACTGAAGCGAGAATGGGGAATAGAAGATCTCTCCCTGCAGACGAGGTACTGAGTCTCTGACGGTGTTCCCTTGCTTTATGCGCTCATCCTCCTTCTCAAGTGTCCTCCCCTTGCCCTCAGGAAAAGGCCTGGTTCCCGAAGAGACTTTCTGCCTCAGAGGTCTTATTTTTTTGGGATTCTTTCCTTGAAGGGAAGAGATTTGGGACACCGAGGGATGTTAGCTCTCAGGCCCTGAGACTCACCCAGTCTGCCATGCCAGGATGTGGTGGGGGCTGCTTGGTGGCGTAGCTGCTAGTTCGCTAGATGGTGTCGAGCTCCTCTGGCTGTGAGGTAAGGCAGCTGAAAAACAAGGAAGATGGGGGAAAAATAACCAGTTAGATGAGGGCAGGAGGAGGGTCAAGGTATTTCATCCCTGACAGCCCAGATGAGCTGCAACCCAGTGGGGAGTCGGTGCAGCATGCATAGCTGTGGCCGTTTGCACAGGTTGGCAGATGCTCCCTGAGCAGCGAGTGAATAGCTAGCTCAGCATTGCAAGTGTGTGCTCCTGACTCTGCCTTCATGTGGGTAGGAACATTTTGTCCTGCCCCAGTCTCCTTAATGGCAAAGGTCCTTCCATGAGAGAGGCTCATGTTCTCAGCGGGTGAAAGTGAACCAGTTTGTCCCGTTGCTGGTACCGCAGGTAATTCTCAGTGCTACAGCAGTGACTGCGAAGCTGCTCCTCCACCGGGTCTGATGGGGAGGGGCAAAGCTAGCAGTGCAGGTGGCACAGGCATCTCAGGGGCCATGTGCGAAATCCTGTGCTAGCAGCAGGCAGGGCTTCTGGCAGGGAGCTTCCAAACTCTAGAGTTCAGGCATTTGTCATAAGATTCATTCACATTAGGCCACAGTTAAATCATAAATGTAGGACCAGAAGAGATGATCTTAATGAGGACTTCTGTGCACAAATACTGTAATAGCAGTGCTAATTTTGTGGGGCATTTCTACTACAGGGATCTATGCGGGTAGAGGGGAATCCCATCTTACGATCATTGTGTCCTAAAGCTGAGCTCTGTGTAACACTTTCCCAAGAGTATAATCTTTGAAGTTCAACAGATGTTGATCTGCCTTGGCCGTACAGTCAGATTGTTTCTCACAAGCCCCCTCCCACAAGCTGTTGTTCTTACCTGTAGCTTAAACATGAGAAAAGTGCAAAGTCTAATTTGTTCTGTCTTAGCAGATGGCTCTATGGGTCAGCATCATCCTTTCTTCATATTCTAGCAGCTGGCTATTGGAGGACCAGACCTAGACTGCCCTCTGATCATGATGTGCCATGATCACCGAAAGCAAATAAATTATGTTCTACAGTTTTAGTGAAGTACAGCCTTAAGTAAGTCTCAGGAACTCACAGGGACAGTATTTTTAACTAGTGCTTTCTTTCTGGGTGTCCTATCTAAAACTAATGGGTTTGCAAAACTGGTCTCAATATCTATCTCGGTAGGAAAGCTCCTTAAATTTCAGCTATTTCCTGCTAAGGCAGAAATATCCTAAGAAAGCCTGAATTTCCTAACTAATGAAGGGGGAAAAATTTGCAGAAAAGAGTGGCAAAAGTACCTAACACACTAAGGCAGGGGTTTTCAATCTTTTTTTAATAAGTGTACCCCAGACAGCCCCCTTTTTAATAAGTGTACCCCCGGGGGGGGTAGCAAGTGGCCGGATGCAGGGAAGAAGGGGTGGCGAGTGGTGGCATTGCAGCATCTGTGCAGCCCTGCTCCTGAGAGGCAGCAGCACAGGGTGGTGGTGCTCTGTCCCCACCCGCCCCCGCATACCTTCTGGGACCGTACGTGTACCTCCAGTTCACAACCCCTGCACTTAGGGACTCCTAGGTAATGGGAATAAATCAACCAACAATTGGTAATGGAATAGTGCACCTTTCATCATCATATTGCCAACTCCAATCTGGCCCCAAGTCAGTAGTGATTGAAAATGATGGGCGGATGGCTATTCAGTGGTTTGTGTGAAATGACTGCAGTGGCCTTGACTCAGTTAGTGGTATGCAAGTACTGATATTTTTAAAAGCACCATCATGATTAATTGGCATGCACGACAGTGACCTCATTTGAGATGCACACAACTGAATGGGCCCTGGAAACAGAACCCCTGGAAGGGAGGTCTGCATGTCAAGGCTGATGCATGTGACTAGACAGGGTGAGGGAGACCTGTTATGATCCTGCCCATGATGTACCTGTTCATTGACTTTCATCAGCCTTTCAATCTGACCCACTGGTGTGGGTGAGAAAAGGTTGGGTAAACCTTATCTTAGTTCTTATGTCACTGAAACTAGTCAACAGAGGGCTTGATGCCAAGTATCTATTTAATTTTAAACTGCTGAATAGTGTCTCAGGCAAACTTTCCTCATTTGCTAATTTGGTATTTGTAACTTTCCACCATTATCTGACGGTGACGCTACAGAAGAGCCCAGAGACCCCAGATAAGAAGAGGACCCACAGTAGCCATGCTGCTCCTCATTAACCACAGCATCTGATTTCAGATGTGCTGCAAGATTTCCCCCAGGGTCAGCAAGCATCTCTGGTAGCTTGTGATCTAGTCAGGACAAAGATCTTGCCTTCCAGATGTTGCCCAAATCTTTTTAGTAGGACCATCTGCTCCTTGTTAAAGAACTATCTTTTAATTCTGCACCAGATGTTCAAATCACTGCTTCATTATGAACTTAAACTCTCTTACTCCTAGTAGATTTAGTTGGAAGGTGGCATCTTTCTGAATTTGGGAGCCTTCTACGTTGCGAATTTGGCATGGTGACCCACTCGGTGTCCTAGGACCAGTGTGTTCCTGCGGATGGGATTTTCTCTGGCACCTCTTTAGAGGTCTGACCCAAAGTCTAATGGAGCCTAGGGAAAAACTTCCACCGACTTCAGTGGGCTCGTGATCGGACCCTGGGGGTTTTTTTTTCCTAGCTTTTTGTAAAATTATTTCTTCAGAGAAATGTGATAGAGGAATCCTCCCCAAATGAGTGTCTGGGGTAAAATACACCTGGCCAACCTGGAGGACTGGGTATGCAGTATGCTGTACCCACACAAGGACAGGGAAAGCAGTCTGGTCTGATGCCGGTCACAGATTACCAGCTATTGCCCCACCAGTAATGCATTCCAACCAGTGCAAAAACTCCCGACCTGGCTCTTACCTGATGTTGCTTTACACATCTGAGGCATCCTCGTTACCCTGCTGTGCGCCACAAAGGTGCTTTGAGAAGATGTGCTGTACTGGGAGCTGCTGTCTGAGGATGTGGAGCTCGTGTGCGACAGGCGGCTGTGGTCCTTGTGGGAGGCTGTGGACCGTTGGTACCACAGCCGGAGTTCGTCTGACACGGCAGTCCTGCCTGAGCCCTTCTCATGGCCCTCTCTACCCAGAGACGGAGTCCTTATGATCTGAGACCGGGAAGGGGTCAGTCTCACCGAGTCCACTTCGTCCGCATGCCAGTTCTCCTTAAACATCCCCCCCGCCGTGTATGAGTTGGACGTTTTGAATTGTGCTTTCACGCTGTAGTGCCCCTCCTGGTCATTCTCCAGGCTCCGCACCACCACCGGTGTGGAGCTGCCCTCGATGTACAGGGGGTACTCTTTGATCCTGTACTGAGAGGACGGCTGGCTCTGGCTGTTCAGGTAGACCCCATGGTGGCCTGTTCCATTCCTGGCAGCCAGGTTGGGCATGCTCCCTGAATTTGAAGAGACTAAGTTCCCCGCTGACTTGTGTCGCTGCCTCTGCCGCTCTCTGGCTTTCGAGGGGGAGTCCTCTGCCAGCGTGGAGTAGTTTGGGTTCATCTGAGCAGGGTAGTAGTGCTCAGAGCTGGAATGGCTGGTGCAGGAGGAACAGTCATCCATGGGGTCGGAGCCATTACTGCTACGAGTCCTTGGGGTGTAGAAATCGGGGCTCCCCGTCTCGTTCTCTGAGCCGAGGAGTTTGCCTTGCGACTCCAAGCTGGAGCTCCTGTGTCTAAAGTGCTGAGCTAGGCTGTGCAGTCGGGTAGGGCTGATGTCTACTGACCTGTGGGGACCAGGAAGAGAGTTAGCATTTGAGTCAGCTGCATGAATGGGAGCTGCTGAGTGGCCTCTGAGCATTTTATGCCACAGCAGCACACTCTGATCCAGTCAGATGCACACAGATGAAGTCTGAGAGCTGCCAAGTACCTTCTGTTCCCACCAACTCCAACAGGAGCTGTGGCTGCTTGGCACGGGCCAGGATGTTGGGGACACGGTGCAGGAGGGTGTTCCTGGGAAGCATGAAATGCCCTTCTCTCTGCCCCAAGGGAGAGGAATGATACTGGGGAATGTGGGTTAGATCTCACTGAGTGCTTATGGGGTTGCAGCCCGGAGAGGTGGGTTGAAAAAGCAACCCAGCCCCCTTCCACTGCCCAGATGTGAGGCTTTCGGGCTACCAGGCTCCTTCGCAACCTTTGGAGCTGGCATGGCTACTCCACTAGCCATCTCCTTGGGAAAACCCTGTCATGAAAGTGCTGCCTGACATGGTCACATGTGCAGGTCAGAGACCAGCTTCTTCAGCATCCTCGTCTCTCCAGAGACACCCCCCCCCCTGCAAAGTGTAACGAATGCTGCCCATTATCAGAGCCACTTCTGTGGAGCACCTAGGTGTTTTTGCTGGTCTCTCCAGTGGTTTAAGTTTGCAAGAATGTCATGGTGTGAAGGTCCTTGAGCGAGCACCCAGAGCTGGCTTGTGTCTAAGGGTATGGATTCACATCCAAATCTGGGTGGTCTTTGTTCATACCAGACAGGCTTGCCCAGTGTTTAGAGAGCATCAGTCATCCATTCACAGAGCAGAAATGGTGCCATGTGACCAGTCACACAGCACAAATGACAAATAGCCAAGGTCAGGGCAAATAGTTCGTGAATGAGCCACAGGCTGAAATATGTTTGCTCAAACTCCCCCGTGCTGTTCAAGGCTGGTTCTCAAGCGCAAGTCAGGTGAAGTTTCCCACACCACAGACTAGTTGTTTGCTCAGCTCTCCTATGAACAAATGACATAGCACACAAGGCACTTCTATCCCAAAGCCCTTTGCAGACTTAACCCAGGCCCTTGTTTGGATCTCACTTGTATTGGGCATTTGTACACATGCATGCACCGCAGCACCGGGCACTTTTAAAAGCACCTGGATTTGTATAAATGGTGAAATGCACGTCAGCACTGAGAAAATGGCAGCAGCGTACTTTTGAACTAAAACACATCGATGGTGTTTTAGTTCAAAAGTGCACCGCTGCCATTTTCTGTGCGCTGACGTGCATTTTGCTATTTATACCAATGCACGCGACACAGCACTGGGCACGTCAGCTTGCGTGCTCCACAGAGTCGATTAACTGAGTCTGCTCCGACATGCTGGATTTCTGCTGTGTCGGAGCAGACAAAGATACGTGTATCTTCACTAAGGCAGCTCCATTGGTATCGGTGGAGTTACTCAATGTAAGTGAGATCAGAACCAGTCCCTTGAGGAGGGATTGCCAAAACTGGTTGCAGCTGGCTCAGCCCTGTCCCCTCCTGCCCCCCAGGCACTAGGAGTTTACCAGGACAGCAGAACAGGGCCAGCATTAGGCTGTTGCGGAAACCCTACCGGCGCTAACTACCATCCCCTCAACATAGCTCCCTCAAGCTGCCATCTTAATTCATCGTGGTGTTCCCAGTACCATTTTATTTGACCTGCCTCTTGCTTGGTCACTTGTGCCAGCTTTTCCTGGACACACACACACTTGTATCACCTCACAGTCTGCTGCAGTGAGGGAGGAATTCTTTTGCTTCAGCTTGATCTGCAGGAAAAATTAATGCTTCGTCTTGAATTTAACATTAGTAACAGCTCGTCACGCCAGCAAGGGCTCAGGAATCTTGCAAAACCTAGAACCGTGTTCAAGGTTTCATCCAAAGGACTGGTCAGCTTGATCTCAAGTGAATGCAGGATCTATAGCCTGATTCTCTCTCGAGGACGGCACTTCAGCTGAGTCTTACATGCTGGCTTAAGCACTTGCCTGAATCGGGTCCTTCACCTTTGCAACATGAAAGCAAAGCAAAAGACAACACCCTGGCACCCATGGAGGGTGGTGAGCTGCTCTGGCAGCAGGACAGACTTACCTCGTGGAGTGGACATAGTGTGGACTGCGTACCCGTAGATCTGGCGTGGATGGCATGCTGGACTGGGAGTTCCAGTGCGGGAGGCTCCTGATGGGGCTGTTCTGCAGGGAGCTGCTTCCTCCAGCCTCTGCGCAGCTTCCTGTGCTGGGGAACCGCTTATGACTGCTGCAAAGCAAACAAAGCATTTCACTCTTATGCTCTCCACCAAGAAGCCCAGTGTCCATGGGCCAAATTCAGCTCTCTGTTACATGCGTGTGAGCCCACTGAAGTGGACTGAGTTCCACGTGTGCAACTGCCACGTGTGCAACAATGGTGTCACATGCCTTTTTACAGCAGCCCCGGTTCAAGTGCAAGCCCTGCTCAAGTGACATGGATGCAGCAGCCATTTCTGAGAGAGACTGTCCTCTTTCCTTTCAGACGGCCTTTTGCAGTAACAGTAAGCTACCCACCAGCAGCTTGATTATGCCTGTTAGTGCCTGTTCTGCATGGCATAATTATCCACTAGAACAACCACATATAATTTGGGGAACTGATGACTTTGTTGTGCCATTTGGGAAGAGCTTTCATGATGAAGTCCTAGGCTACAGACCACTGCTCTTTCCCCTGGTGTTCCCAGCAAGAGTCCTCATTACCGTTCCAGCCAGGCACCTCCGGGAATGAGGACCATTCTCGTGGCCAGCAGTGGCCGAATGTCTGACTCACCTGGAATGAGCATGCGAGGAACGTTTTTTGACCTTCTCATAGGGCTCATCCAGGGACGACTCACTCCACATCTTGGGCTTGATCGGGGACTTGTCATAGTCGTTCCGGTGGTAGTGCATTTGTCGGAGCCCCTCCAGGGACTGCGGAGGAGGTGGTCTGTTATGCAGGGGCGGCCGGGGAGGGAGTCCTTTGTGAGGTGACTGTAAAGGGGATATGGTGCTGGTAACCTGAGAATCCTCTGCAAAGAGAAAGCATACTTAGGAACCACATCCTTCTTCCACGGTGCTTTCTTTCACCCACCAATGGAGACAGTGCCTCAGCTCAGAGACCTCTCTCTCACTAGGCACCCTCCCTGAGTGCCACTCTTATCTCCTTTCCCTGCTTGATCTGCTGCTCTTTGTGCTCCCTGCCCCATCTCCTACTGCATTGCCTGCCCTCTCCCTCGCATGCCACACACAGGTTGCCTGTGTGAGAGAGAGGCCCTGTCCCAGCAAGGAGGATTCCTAGTGGTTGTGGATTTGCTCCAATACATAGGGACCTCTTCCCTACAGATTTCATGCTTAAATCTACTTATGTGGTGGGGGGGAACTGAAAGGGGTTTTGATAAAGGGTACTTATTGCTTGGAACGATGTGCTCCAAAAAGCTCAGGTTGGCGTGTCCCATGGGAGGATTTCCTCCACCTTCCTCATCATGTATCCTTCCCTTTCCACTGCTAGGTTTCTAGAGTATGTATGGACAACATACCATCCTCAAGAACGAGGGCATCTGAGAGGGAGCTGTCCTCACTGGCAATGTTTCCTTCTGGGAGAAGAAGAAATATAGAGCCATTACTGTTGCAGTAATGAACTTTGAATCACCATGTGATTTCCCCCACAGAACATTCAAGCACAGGCATCTGCCTCCACTTCCCCAAGAAGCAATAAGGTTTCTCTTAGTACAGGCCAACTTCCTCGGTCCAAACACCCACGAGAGACCCCTTGACTTCCGGCTTACACAACTGGTGTGTTTTCACAGTAGTATTCCTTAGTATCAGGCCACTGAGTGCCCCGTGCAGCAGCAGAACAGCTACCCAGTCCTTGTGCCAGAGCTCCTCTGACCTGCATTTCATTTTCTTTCTCTCTCTGTCTCACACGCACACACTCACACACACTCTGCATGCCTGTGTGCACTGACAGTGAATGGAGAGGAACTCTCTCGCAGTGTACCTGCAGCCCAGTTGAGGACACTTTATAAGTACAAAAAGAAGGGAAAAGGGCAAAATGAGCGAGAGAAAAAGGCCTATTCTTTTAAGCCTATGAAGGAGGCTTTTTTTAAAAAAAAGCATGTAAATGTTAATTAAGTGTCTTGAGAAGACTATTCTAACAAATGCAATGATAACAGCCGTCATGATTCCTTGATTTTATTTAAGGAACCCAATCTCTTTTACTAATATATTCATACCTCTAGTGCAGGTATTACCATACTCATTTTACAGGTGAGTAAGCTAAGTACTCAGAGGACTTGGTGTCACAGCACAGAACTCACCCTTGTTCTGTGAGACACCTCACCACTTGTGTGCTACTGGAGTCCCATGTCAGCCTGCCAGACACCCATGCCAGCCTGGACAAGCAAGAACTGGTACAATATAAACCCCTGTGGTCCATGGTTTTTCCCTGTATAAAGAGGTCTCTGAGGGGGAGAAATGCAATACAGAGCAGAGGTTAGAGCAGGACTATGGACCTTGTGACCCCTGGGCTCTATTCCTAGCTCCAGCTCACTGTGGGTGCAATTCAGTCAAGGTGAAGGTATCAAGGTGTATGTGTTACTGCATGCTGTGAGGTCCTGAATACAGCTCTGGTGTGCAGACGCTAGGCCCCCCCGCAAGCTCTACTTACCATCTATGATCAGGGAGGCTCTCTGCGTTGGCTTTTTCCCAGATTTGATACGATACTCATTGATGGCATTTTCAATCTCCTGCAGTTTCTTCAGTGCATTCAGGTAAGAGGTTTTCCTTTGCTTCTTCAGCTTTTTGCTGACGTTGGGGTCACTGGCTAGGCGTCGGGCAGCCTCGGTGATCTGGGACTGGATTGCAAATTCCCTCTCCAGACGCTCCAGCTCAGCTTCCTGTCAAACAGGCAACAGATTCCAGCTCTCATGATTTCAAGGTGTCAGAGGTCAGATCCTTTGCCTGGTTCTAGGGCCAAACACTGTTGACTTTAACAGACTTAGGTTGCTTTCCACCAGCTGAGGATGGAATCAGCGCCGATGATTTACTCTAACAATGATTCAATCTAACTACATGTGGTCAGTCTGGCAGTGAGGGCAGCTGAACTACTGAACTTGCTCATGGCTTCACAACTATTACTCTTATGTGTAAGGGATCACCTACACATGGATGCATGATATAACCTTTATGTTGTGTGTGTGCTGGCTAGGGGCACAACGTTGTCTCACACACACTATTTGCTATGCGTCCTGGTGGTGTAATGACTGTACCCCAACCTTTCTGTGTCACCCTTAGCGCTGGACTCAATGACAGCCTGTTGCAATGTTGAGCGTCCATGCAAAACCACGACATGTCAATGAAACACTGCTGATAGTACTTTTACCGTGTTTGTACAGAATTAAGAGGTTGCATTTGTCCCAGGTGCAGGCTCACTGCAATCCGGGGATGACTCTCATCCAGCACAATTACTGTGATGTGATGCGTTACAAGACTGAGCCATTAACAGGAGTTGTGCAAAATGTCAGCACGTGAAAAAATTTTCCTGAAAGATTTTGTCTAGGCTAGAAGGTTGGAAAATCACCCACCGCAGGTTTAATGGAATCGGGGCCAGGCTCTTAGAAGGTAGAAACTGTCATAGATCCATTATCTTTAGCTCCACATCAGTCAGTGGAGCTATATCAATTCAACACCCACAGAGAATCTGACCCTTCATCTTTTGCCTGTGTAGATAGGGATGCAATTTTCTGAGATGTCTAAAACCCTTAGGCACTCAAATCCCATTAGTTCTCTTAGAACCAAAGTGAAATGGCAGTTTTGCTATTAAAACCCTATAAAGGGAGACTCTAATGAAGTGTAAAGTAAAAAAAAACAAACCCCAAACCTCTACTCTTTTCTTTCACAAACTGCTGGGACACATGCTTATTCACTGAATATTCACTGAAACACTCCCGCTATTCAAACCCCCTCTCTCAACCGACTCGCACGCATACATACAGGGCAAGCTGATGTGGGATGAATTAATCCCTGCTCAGACTGAGATGACTCCGAAGTTTTCATTTGGGACATTTTGGCTTAAAAATCCCCCTTCTGTCAGTGATGAGTCAGCACCGTTTTAAGGCTCTAATTACGGTTCCCCTCACATTACTGCAGATTGAATGCCTGCTTTTTTTTTTTAAGGCGAGTTTTGCTTTGAAGATCCCACGAGCTCTGTCAACACTAAACTTATTAAAAGCGGCGGAAACACAATGGCGTTATAAGGCCTAGAACCCATTCTGCTTCCTTCTCTCACAACTCCCACGGCAGTCAGTGATGGAGGATTAAGGACAGCGTTAAGGACGATTAGAAAAGAATACAATTAGGTTTCAGCCTCACCATCTTTGCTCAGACAAAAACCCCACTGAAGGGGCTGAGATCTGGCTTGAACTGGCCATTCCAAGTTTAGCGTATTCATTTTTATGACACCCGTAAACCACCACCTTCACTTGCCTCTCCTCATTAATGACTCTTTTTTTTCCCCCAACATGATGCCTTAACAAATACTACCTGGGAGCACCAGCACTCCCAACCATTTGCCTGTGCTGCAGGCTCATTGGTGTTTTTTGTTCAAGCCCCAGGTCCTGGAATCGTGATGACATTTAGGTTTAAAGGACATTTCTAACCCTCAGGACTGAGGCTTGAAAATGCAAATCTCAAAGGCTCAAAAAGGCTTTGGCAAGCAAAACAGAGGTCAAAGAGCTATTATTATTACTTCAAAGTTTGGGAAGCCTGTTCTATCATTGTGAGGGCTGGCAATACTGTGTCACCACGATGTACACCAGCCAGCGCCCCCTCTTAACAGGAAAATGAGATCTGGGAGCTAGGAGATCAGAGGATAACGGGCTGCGCGGGCTTTTAGGAGTCGCTGGGCAAGACAGCACTTTCCTTCTCAAAGCTCAGTTCCAAGCGGCAAAGTAACGAATATTTTAGGTCAATGGCATCCCTCTCGCTGGCTTCTTCAGGAACAAAACTGAAGAGCTCAAACTGCTTATTTTTTCAGCAGAAGGAAAATGCCAAAAAAAAATTGATGAGCAGTTAATTCTCCAGTCAAACCAAGCCTCCCTGCACCCTCATGCCAAGTCTCTCCTGCCATAAAATGAAAGGAAACTTAACACTCCCCTATACACAAATGTCTTGAGACAAATAAGTCTCTGCAGACAATGGCTTTTCTGTGAATCCCAGTCCCGCCTTCCAGCTGCTCTGGGCCTGTTTTCACAGCCATGGTTCAGGGCACTGACCCAACCCATTGCAGGGGCGAGAGCACAGAGCAAACACTCCCCGCAAGCTTAGAAAAACACAAGTCAGGCTCCCTGTGGGAAAACCGAGTTCTCCTTTGGGTGGGAAGGGGCCTGTCCTGCAAGCACACGGTGTCTTGGAGGGAATGAGTCCAAGGTGTTCAGAAAGGAAATGGCTTTAGTGCTGAGTGAGACTCATTGCAGAAAGGGAGAAAGAAAGAGCTGAGATTGGGTTGTAGAGCTGGCTCAAAAGACTAGTGCCGTGTTTCCCAAACTTTCAATACCTGGGGCACACTTTCTTTCTGGAATAAAATTGGGTGCACACGTGTCTCTTACACCCAGAGAGATGTATATGTGCACGGATACAACTTATGCAGCGGCGCCTAGCCTTTTGGCCTGATCCAGTCATGTGCGGCCAGCGCAGCCACAGCCCGATCCCATTGCACAGGACCAATGTGGCTGGAGCCCAATCCACCACGCAGGGCTCGGAAATTTTGTGCAGCAGCCACAGCTTCCCCACCACCACATTTCCAGACCTGTGGGGAGCCCCTGGGCCAGATGGCTCTGTGGGCCAGATTCGATATTGAAAAAGTATCATTTTTCTGCCACTCTTGTGTCTCTACCCAGTGATTCCCAAAGGGTGTGCTGCGGCTAGAGACAGGGATGGAGACACACGACTACCTTTACTCACAGGAGCAAGCTCTACTGCCCCAGTGATGCTAGCTGGCAAGGGCTGATTGTGCTATTTGCAGGACCAGGGCCATAACTAACATACCCAAGGCTACACACACTCTCTGTGTCAGAGCCAGTGACTCCTGGCTCAGGCCTGTACCCTGACTCCCCTCCCTTCTCTGCTTCCACATATAAACAAAGACAAGGCCTTTTGAACAGTAAATTCATTTAAAAAAAAAGAAAAGAAAAGCTGGAGCCATATGTCCAGGGCTGCCCTGGGTGTACAAGAGCCGGAGAGCTGAGACCAGAACGGAAGGCAGATCCTCACCTCTCCCTTCGGCAGGATTTTCTGTTCATCCAGTTTAAAGGCAGTCCCTATTCTTCTCCGTACGATGGGTGGTTCCTCCCCTGGGTCGAGGGGGTACTCTCTGGGCAGCTTTCCTGTGAGCTCCTGCAAACATAAAATGCCATGAGTGAAGCTGGGAAGTTTCCAAATCAAACCCATCCTGGGTCTAGCTCTAGATTGGAACAATACTCAGAGAAGTGATGGTAGTAAAAACAAGTCCCCCAGGGTCTCAGGCTTACAGCTTCTCCGTCACTCAGATGTGCTTTGCTGATAAATACAGAGACGGTTCTCTTAACTGCCAGCCCTGCAAACTCAGGCCAGGATCTGACTGTCAGCTGGGTGCTTCTGGGCTAGCTGACCATCAGCAGCAATAAAGATACTCAAGATGATGACCTGCCTGTGTTGGTTTTCTGGAAGGATCATCCCCCAAGGAGTCTGCCTGAGCTAGGATACACTCCAGCTCACAGTCTTTCAGCTGTCCTGTCTCTGGGCACCAGGGAGTAAAAGTTGTTCAAACCTTATCTTTGAAAGGGAGTCAGCAGGTTGGACTGTGAATTCCCACCGGGAGAAAGGAATGGCCGCTTTTACAATAATTTTTCTCATCGTAACTGCACTATAAACTACTGCAACCTGGTTCGTGATCTGCCTGAGATGAATGCAGTGAAAGGGGCCATTTCCAGGGGTGCCCGATACCTCATTACCTGTTTCAGAAATCTTATGAATTGAAGTCCCTGCCAAACACGGAGTGATGTCATGCACAGTTTGGAAACGACACCAGGCGATGCCGTGTTGGCGCAAAAGGGCCATTTGCAAACCAAGAGATGCGTGGTGGAATATATTTGAAGCATTCAAAGGAGTGAGTGCCAATATTGCTGCTAACGCGGTGGTTTTTCTGGTATGCATAATACATCCCTACTGATCTCAATTAAAGGCATGCAAATGCTTACACAGAAATGCAAGCGCGCTGCTACAAGGAACAACTCGGCGTCTTGGGTTGAAAAGTCTCTGTGCTGAGGACAAAAGGCTTTTGTATTCTGTTACACCAGGTTTGAGAGGATCCAGCTGGCAAAAAACCCTAAATCATCTGAATCCCATATAACAGTGGCTGACCTTAATGTGCAGTGTAGAGCTGAGGCTCTCTGCCACCCTCTTCCCCCCAACAGCCCTCCCTCCCCCACCCGCTTCTTGTTTCTTTCTACTGTTTTCAGGTCACTGGGAAATGAGGCCGTGGCCTTTTCAATCCTTATCTTCAGCAGTTCCCAGCACAATGAGTTTCTAACCCCCACGCCGCACAATTCCCATTTTCAAGATGCATTGTGAAAACATCCCCTGGGGAGGTCGTTTCAGCCCCTCTTTGGTAACATGTTTATTCCACAGCACAAAATAGCTGGCTATAAATAATGCATCAAGGTACAGGTCCTCATGGGCTGTACTTCGGAGTTAGGGGCGCAATCACTTTATAACCCAGAGTTTAACATGAAGCGGAGCAGTGAGTAAAGAGTTAACATCTGTACGGGCTTCTTCCACAATCCCCGGGATTCTGGGAGAACATAAATGCAGACCACTACACTGCCACCCTCCATGGAAAAGTCCTTGCAGGCATGATCCTGAAATTTAATTTACATTAATAAGTAACGGAGGCAGTAGTGGGCTCGGGGTAACTTGATGCCACTGTCCTTAATGTGTCGGGCCAAGCCGGCTGGATTATGCCCATACTGCAACCCTTCTGTCTTGTTCTCATGAAGCGATTTCCAGCTCAAACCCATGGCCATCTGAGAGGAAACATCTCAAAGAAAAGAGCCAGTGAAATGTTTTACTATGTTCTATGGATGAGCCAAGCTAAATTGCTGCCACCCTTACTCGCTTGAGTCATCCTGCTAAAGCCACCTGAGATGTCTCATGTGACACAGGATGGCTTCTGTGAGTAGGGGTTGTGGGATCAGGCCCTCAGAGACTGCCTCTGTTGAAAATGTTTTTTCTCGTATCTCTTCGCAGGTATTAAAGTTACAGCCAAGGGTAAATCAAGGGCAAGGAGAGTTTAAAAACTGCACGGTGCCATTTTCCCATGCCTTTTTTTTTTTTTTTTTTTTTAAAGAAAGTGATGTCCACAGTTTATTATTAAATAATCTCCCAAAAGTCCCAGCACCCCTGTTCAGAGCCAGTGATTTTTTGTTAAACTTGGACTTTTTGGCTAGGGACTAAAATTACACATAAAATGGTATAAGCGATTGGAAAGCGTTTCAAATCTCTAACACGACAGAAGTTCAGTGCGCATAAACTGCTTTCAAAATGGCTGAAAACGATTTAAGATAAATCTGGATAGATGGAGTATCAGACTTAACTGATTTAGGTTAAATCAGTTTATTGAACTTCTGTCCCAGATCCCCTCCAGATTCCAGTTAACTCACAATCCCCCAGCATCCCAGGATGCTTTGCACCTCCCCCACAATTCCCCCCCCCCCAAGGCTAGCCCAAGGCTTGGGCTAGCCTTGGTCCAAGCTATCTGCTTCAGCCACTCAGGGAAGCATGCTGTAGTGTCCCCCAGCTTCTGGCCTTGGCCACTGCAGGCAGGCGGCTGCATTTCTGGACTCAAAAGTGAATGTCTGTTCATTTGCTTATCGGTTCAACCTGTGCAGCTTAGACCAACCTGTGAAAATTGAACTGATTCAGTCTCCGGCTTTTTGACTCTCTGTACTTAGCCTTCCAGACTTGGGAAACAGCATGGAGAGGTGTGTATGTGAATGATCCAAGTGTAAGGTACATATGAACTGCTGCTAGTATTTATGATGTCTCCAGGCACACTTGCAGCACGGATCTTACTTTTTCCAAGAGTTGAAATGGATTTATGTCTACACTGCTCTAGTTTAAATCAACCCAGACAATAATTAAGCAGACAAGTGCAAAGTACAATAGGACCTCATCACGTGGCACTTAGTTTCTCCCACGCTACCTGGGCCAGAGGAGTCAGTTTCTCTTGACGGGGTTACTATCACATTAACATTCTTCTCTACTGTGACAGAGGGACCCTGCCCCATGTTTCTTATAGTAAATACTGCACAGTGAAGGAATGCAGCCAGTGCATCCTCTGAGACATCCCACACCACACACTATCCTCTAATGGTTTCTACTCTGTGCCGGCCTGTAGAATTGCACCGGGTGTCAGACAGTACAGATCTGCTATAAAATATCCCGGAGATGCAGAGGGTGCTGGGGAACGGGCAGGAGAAGGAATATGCCCGAGGCCACTTCAGCACTAGGGAATGAAAGTACATTAGCCTTATACACACCTTTTCCCCCTACTGTAGACAAAGCCAAAGGGACATACACCAGACTAGCTAAGGTCTCAAGTCCAGTCCCATGGAGTTCATAGATTTCATAGACAATAGGGCTGGAAGGGACCTCGGAAGATCATCGAGTCCAGCCCCCAACAGTTAATAGCAAACATCCTATTTCAGAGGCTGACCAATGCATCTGCAACTCTAATGATTTTGGTGGGACTGAGCATGCTCAGCATGCCCTCAGGATCAGGCCTTCTGGGTGCCCAATTAGCTTGCAGCCATGCCATCTTCTATATATGCTGGGCTTTGGGGCAGTGCAATATTTTGCACTGATATGTCGGGGGGAGGAGGGGTGGTCAATGCAAGGTGCTTTGTAAGAGATGCCTACGGAAAGCTTTGCTCCTTCCCGCTTGGCCTGGGAAATGAGGGCATGAGCACAACACAAGCAACACAATTTTCCAGGGTCATGAGACTGCCATTGCTTACCGCTTCTCGGAGACACAGCTTCTTGAGCTCCTCCAGTCGCTGGCGTAGCGTCTCTTCCAGCGCTTCCTGCCTGGATTTCAAGGCAGCCAGCATGTCCTTCTTGGCAGACTGAGAGCTATCCGACTCTTGGGAACCTATCAATAAACAATGATTTCACTAGGCCTCAAGGCCAGCTGACAGCAAAACACACATCTGGAGCATTAATGAATTTCACCAAAGCTTGTGCTTTGGATGCGGACTTTCCAAAAAGGAATCAGGCTATGAAGCGAAGCAGGTGTTACACAGACGCGTTTGTTTATGGCAAGTTCTTAAGGCTTAAGCGAACAGAACGAGGTTAGACATCCCAGCACGCGAAGGCATTTGTAGTTCTCTATTATATAAATAAAAGCAAGCTGGTTACTTTTGCTTGAAGCTACTTTTGAAAATGCTACATGCAGTTCTCAAGAAAGCTCCCAGCAACGAGCAGCACCAAAGATGCATTCTCACGGATGGAGACCAGCAGAGGCTATTCCAGTCATCCAGCTGGACTTCCTACACAGACCTGCATCCAGTGGTGCCCGCAGCTATCCCAAAAAACTTGTGGTTAACTCTAGAGGCAAGGAGGTTTTTTTTCCCCAGTGATATCTTTTATTGGTTTTGAACTACCCTGTGATGAAAAAAACCCCACCACGATAGTTACCAAAGTTAGATTTGTATAAGCCATTTGTAACCCTTCCCCACCAATAAAGAGATAGCTAGTGGCTTTATAGCAGTAGTTGTTCCTTAGGAATAGGTAAGGCAAGATATTCAAAACTGGGTGCTTAAATAAGCAGCTTGATTTTCAAGGTGCCAAGCACCTTGTAGCTCTTGCTGAAGTCAGTACCCTCATGCTGGTGTAAATTCGGAACAAAACAGCATCCGAACATGGCTGGGGTTTGCTACTTCATTTCTTTCGAGAAACATATCAACCAGTTTCTAATTTACCTGAATGACCCACACAGCATTGTCCAAGGGCTCCATGCTCAAGGGTGGTGTGGTGTTGGTTGGGTGCTTGATTGCTGAGCCCTCACCCTCTGAAAATCAGGGCTACCTAAGGCACTTTAGACATTGTCTAGCTAGGGAAGCCTGTGCAAATGTAAAGCACACCAACTCCTCTTCAGGAACTCCCTGTGTGGGCACTCATAGCAAATGTATTTGCCATGAATGAAGCTGCCTTGGATCAAGAGGGTCCACATGGAGTTAGCACAGAGGAGTGAATTCTGCACTGTAAGTTCACACCTGACCTGACTGCACACTGAATTTCCCATGCAGACAAGCCCTTACGTTGACCAATGCTTTCAAACATGTTCCTGCATGCTCCACAGGGCTGAATCATCCCCCACAATACCTATTTTTCATAACAGTGGCTCCACAGCCTTTGTCAAGCAAGGGATTACAGGTTCAGGCTCATGTTGGCCACATTGTCAGATGTTCAGACGTGCCTTCAGCAGGTCAGCCTTGTGTGGAGTTTGCCGAAAGCTCTGCTGAGGTTGTTCACTCCTTTCCAGGTGAACCTGGGGGGGCGAATTTCTGGTTTTGCACCAATCCCAGGTGAAATCCACCCTTTCAGCTACATTTTGTTTTGAGTTTCTTTGCTTCTACTTTTCTCTAAGACACTTAAAGGTGGACTGAAAGAAACCAACCCAACCAGCCCAAGGGGAGCATGTACCTCAATACACCTTTCCCATCACTACTGTGATGCTTGCCCAGTAAATGTATTCACTTGATCTGTCAGTAACTCTCTCATTTGTCCCATGCATACAACTACTTCAGTCACTGGGATGTGCTGGGATTGCAAAAATAGAACTAAATTCTCCGAGAGATGAGTTAGATTCTGGGAGAGAAAGGCTGCTGCTTTACAGAGCATCCTCCTCAAAAGTCAGGACAGCTTATGTGGTACCACACCTATTTACTTGCCCTGAAGTCAAAAATGCCAAACTCATTGCTCTTGGCTCTTTTTATGCCTGTATGCCTGCCCCAGAATAACACATGTTCAACCCAAGCAAGGCATTTCACTACAAGAACGTAAGAGGTTTTTCCCTAGAAGAATTTCCATTTTGCATTTCATGTGCAGGATACATTCCCCTAGTCTCACTCTAAAAACAACTACAGAAAGCACTTACTGGTGGCAGGTGAACTGCTGAACTCTCCTGCTCCAACACTGATGAACTACTAACCATCAACAAGCAGTTCATGACCCCCTTGTTCCCTCCCACGATGATCTGTTCCTTACCTTTTGCTGTTCTGGTAACTTTATGCACGCCTTTTTTCTTTTTGTTTTCCTCTTTCACTCCTCTCCATTCCCCACCCCATGACAAAAATCCAGCTTATTTTTAAATGCTATTAATATCTGTACCACCTATCAACCATAGCAGCTAGACAGGCACTTCCGTTGCAACAGTAAAAAAAAACACATACATTTTATGCACTACACCTAAGAGTTGGATGCTTTCATTGACATGCTCAATTATGGGTGTGTCTGCCATAAGGAAATGGACTGTTTGTAACACAGCTCATCAAACTGACCTGTCTTCATCACAAACAGCTCAGTGCGTTTCCACTAGCTGTGCTAGATCTGTGCAAGAGCCACATTAGCCCTGCTTGAGACCTTTTCGTTTGCAATGACTAGTTGGCACCCAATCCCATCTCGGTTCCTGGCACAGATCCTAGAAGCAAAGCACTCTGATTCATGGCAATGAGGGATAAACAAGGGGAGGACTAGCAGAACCATTTTCAGCTTGTCTGATGTCCCGCTGGCACTAAACCAGTTCAGTTACCAGTTCAGACACTAAACCAGTTACCCCAACTGGGCCCTCACATGGGAAAGGTCTCTAATACAAGCTTTATCTGACTGTTCGGGGCCCCTTCATGCAAAAACAGATGAGCCCAGGCCTGATGACTGCTCGGGCGTTTTGCAGGACGTATCTATTTCTGCAGCCTTTCGGAGAGGGCCTGGGCTGGGGGTTTGGACTGTGCTCTCCTGGGGGAACCCTCTATTTTTTTTAAATGCAAGGTTGGATTCTTTATGTGTGCTCTCAGACGCTGTGGGTCTGAATCACTCTTCACCCAGGCAGGTACAAATCAGGACTGAACTGTATCAAAGTCAACCGAGACACGCTACTGCAGAACCGAGCTCCATACTGTGGTGAGCCTAGCACGTTGAGGGGAGGCTCTCTGCATACCAGTAACACAAATCCATCCTCTAGCACATCTGTGACTACAGCCCCAGTGTTTGACTGAACTCTAAACAACCCAAATGAAATCCAAACACATCAGGAGAGCACATCAACAAATGCTGAACGAAATTAAACCAACCGGCCAGACTCTGTCCAGGAGCAATCAGCTATACTGAGGGTCACAAACTGCACTGAGTCTGGGGTCCACCCAGGCCATCTGAGAAAGCGAATGCATAAAACGTGGGGATTCCCACCATGCTGACCAACAGAAAGGGATTTCTATCAACTTTTCCTACCCCTGAAGGATATATCCTTATATTTCATTTCCTGCCCCTGCACTGTTAGGTCTGCAAACACCTACATGATTCACAAGATAAACCCAGAGCTTTCAAACAGGAATTCAGAGCATCAGAAATATTCTGCCCTGCTGCGGTCTTTCTGAGCTCCTCGCATGCAGCAGAAGAATTGCTCTAGTATTTTTCTGTACTAGGCTTGGCATTTTCCCATATTGCCCATTTTCCCTTGATTTTTCCCATATTGAATTCACATAGAAGTCCACATTTTCCTATGTGGTTTTTGAACCACCCGATGGAACGTAATAGAAAATGAT